GAGACCACGGAGAGAAGGAAGAAAAAAAGGTGGGGAGAAGGAGAGTGGAGGCCGGCGAGGGGATCCTCCCCAACCCGCCGCTGACCGCCCAGGCTGAGGCTCGGAGGCAACCAGAAGGGCCCAGCGGGAGGCTTGAGAGGCGGTGCCTGGGGAGCGAAGACCCTCCCTCCCCTGGCTTTTCTGGAGGCAGAAAGACCCAGGAACGCAGCGTGAGTGACTGCACAGGCAGCCGGTCACTTAGCTCTCGGCGGCCAGTTCCCTATTTTCTGAAAAGCCGACCTGGGCCTGGGACACCGCCTCCCACCCCCGCGACGCCCCAAACCTCGTCCCTAGGAGCCCTCTCTTCTGGAGCTAGTATCTCTCATTAGTTGCTTAGGGGGGAATTCTCGCTTCCTAATACGTTTCTCACTGCCTGCAGCTGCACACGACTCATTCCTCCACCCATCCGTTCAACAGCATTTACTGAGCACCTATTAAAGTATGTTCACTTGCACTGTTCTGGATGCTGAGGACAGCCAGGGGAAAGAACACACCATGTCTGGGGGCGTATAGAGTTTATTTGGGGGGGGGGTGTCAGGGAGGTAGACAACAACAAACAAATGTAAAATAGTAGGTAAATTCTAAAAAGGAACTAGAACCAAGTGCTGGAGAGAGGGTTCTTGTGGAGTAGGCGGTCAAGAGAGCCATTTAAGCTGATGCCTGAACGAGGAAAAGGAAGCCAATCCAAGCTGTGCTTTGCTGTTGCAGCCTCCATGCCTCTGCTATTCCGAGTCTCCCCTCCATCTGGAATGCCCTGCACCCCTCTGTCTAGTGAACTTTTGCTTCTCCTTCAAGGCCAGGCTTCTTTCCTGAACCACCCAAGTGGAGGTCATCACTCCCTCATCTGTGCCACCAGAGTCTTAGGTACTTTCCAATATCACAACACAGTGGCGTGCAAAGCTTTATTTGTCTCTCCCAACACGTGAGTTCCCAGTGAGGTGTGGAGGCGCAGGTTGGCATCTTTTTCCTTTGGGACAGATAACACAGTAGGAGATCATGGGGCCTGGCTCTTTTAGGGCCACCTTCCCTGGTGCTCCAGGGCCATGAGGATAGCCCCAATATGGTAGAGCTGCGGGGCCTTGGGTGCTGGCTGCAAGGGAGAAGTGGGGCGGACTCTCCGCTCACTTGGGCAGAACCAGGACAGCTGACATCCGGTCAGGAGAGGTGCAACCCAACCGATTCCAGAGGAAGATCCAGCCTCCGTTACCCCTCCCTCCAGATGCTGCCTGGGGACACGGCTTCTCTAGGGAGTTGTAGTCCTTTGCTCTACACAGCTCAGAACCTGGTAATGACCTTGACACCAGTTCACAAACTTTAGGAGATGGGGAGGAGTCCAGGATAAGGAAGAGGAGGGTGGGGGCAGCATAGGGGGTGGAAAGCTGGGATGTATAGGATAAACCCCTGGCCCTACATTTGGGAACCAGTTTGACTTCCTCTTCATTCACTAGGTGAGGAGTATGGTAGGTGATGAAGATGATGCCCGCACCCCAGGGCATCATCTTCTAAGGTGGGATTTCAATGCCTGCACACTAGGACTTCCAAGGCTCTGAGAGCAGACGCCCTGGCTCCGCTGGGTGTTTCCTAAGTAAGCAACTTTTCCTCCAACCTCGTCCGTCCGTATTCTGCTGGCTGTGTCCCCTCAGGGCTCCCAGCCCCAGATACCCACCTTCCTGGTCTTGCTTCCTTCTAGCCCACGTTTATCTTCCTTCATTCTGTATAGGAGGTGTGTGTTCTGGAAAGGAGGTGTGTGACCCTCACAGAGGAAACAGCCGTTCCATGGGTTGGCTTCCCTATCGTTTGCATGTCTTGAGATACTGAAAGCCAGTCTGGACCAGCCCTTCCCCACTGGATACCCGTCCCCAGGGCCTGCAGTCTCCGAGTGTAAATAGCTCCCATCTCTTTGCTGAAAGACTTCTGTACTGCTCCTTGCTGGGGCTCCAGGGCCCTGGCCATTGGAGGGCGAGAACCCTTGACCAATGCAGCTACCTCTCCCTAGGCTCCCTCTGCAAGGGGAAAGACTCTCCCAGGCCCAAACTGCTGCTGCGCTGGATTGTCCTGTAAGCCAGGATGAATTGCAAAACCCAGGCAGGCCTTCTAATGAGCCGTGAGATTTTGAACAGGAGAAGTAAATTATCCCTTTGGGCTCTGGTTTCTGAGCGCTCAGATAGAGAAAAGGACGGACGATATGATTTCAGAGATTACTTTTGGCTCAGGCCTTTCTTGCTTCCCTGAATGGGTGGCTAATCCCTCCCCACCCAGTGACTGTGCCACACCAAGTTTAAGGACTGAATAGGCGCCATGGGTGGAGGAGGTGGCATAGATTCTAGAAGGACAGCTTTTTTTTTTTTCAGAGCCCAATCTCGAGGGGTTAAGAGGCTGACTCTGGAGTGATGCTGCCTCCATTCTAACCTCAGCACCACCACAAACAGCAGTAGAGACCTTGGTAAGTTAGGAGCACTCTAACCTCAGTTTCCTCCTCTGTGAAATGGGTATGCTTACAGCACCTCTCTCATAGGTTTTTTAAAATGCACACATTTTAAGCATACAGCTCAAAGAATGCTTATATAAGTAAACACTCATGTACAAATCACCTTGGCTATGAAAATCAAATGAGGTGATCCATGTAAAAGCAGCGTATCCAGCTGGTACGCATCAGGCATTGCATCGATGTTACAGGCCTGGCCTGTTGTACTGAGAAGTCCGGGATTCTATTCTGCCCGCAAGGCATCTCCAGGCTGGGGTTTGGGGGACGGCAGGCGGGAGGATTCAGAACCCCAACACTGCAGGCAGGAGGCGGGTCAGAGTCCCTGGGGCCAGCCAGGGGCAGGTGCTTCCTCACCGGGTTTGTGGAAGCTGATGAAGGGCCAGGTGAAAGGAGGTTTCAGGAGAACCTCGGGTCCCCTCCACCGCGTCTCTGCGGGCAGGAAAGGTGCGGGAGGGGAAACGCAGCCCCGCTCTCCCCGTTCCCTGGCGCCGCCAAAGCGCACTGCGGCCGCCCTCTCCCCGGGGTGGGGCCGGGTGGGGCCCGGGGGCGGGGCTTCCCGGGCCCAGGGCTCT